ATTTGTTGCCTTGGTGTAATTCCACCTTAAAACTGCAGAGCGTTTGTTCTTAATTACATGTTATTGCGAAAGGTATATATACACCAGTTTTTTTCAACATGGAAGATAGTTAAGGTCCCAAAAGACATTTTGTCACTAAATTTAGTAACTTATCAAATATAGTAACCTTTTACGTAAATTGGTAGTACTGCTAGTAAGAAATAGTGCTACAAACCTACGAAAAAAATAATAGATTTTGAAAAATTACTAAATCTAGTGACAAAATACCTTTTGGGATCTTAGCGACTTCCCATGGCTCAGAACTGGTTTAGCTATACTTCTATTGCGTTCTACTTTGCTCCTTCTGGTTTGTTTTTATATGGTACATATTGTATTTCCGATACTGCATAAAAAACGTTTAACGTTCAGATCAACAACTACGTAGGTCTACGTTTGAGTAATAGTAGTAAACCGGCTTGGTAAGTACAAACAGCCACAAATTAATTAATAACATGTTACAACCCGTAAGTTTAACTTAACACTTAACAAGAGGCACCACTGAGGTACCTGCCTCAAGGCAGTGAATCATATAATTTACAACATATTGCTTAGCAAATTTATACCTTATCCAAATAACTGTTCAAGTATCAGTTCAAAACTCAAATGATCTCAAGTGTATTTGCTTCAAATATAGGGAGTCACCTCTTTCATCAAGACTAGGTCAAGGGGCGATGGGTTTATTATATGCTATACTGTTAATGACTTAATTTGTGTTCCAAGTTCTAATAGGCGAGTTCGGATAGTCAGGGGCTGGAGCGGGACAAATTTTAGGGTGCTTTTAAATGACATTTAAGCGTGTTAAACTGTCACTAATCGGACTTAACCGAACGCTAAAAGGGTCGTTTGGAGTTAAAAGTGTTAAAGGAACTTGGCAGACCGAACGCAATGAATGACAGTTACAAAAATAGAGGTTAGGTATAAATATTCCTTAATTTGTTCTATTATTTTCAGGATTTTATTTATTAATTTAGGGTGAGATTACAGAACGTCTGTAACTTTGCAGATCTGCAAATATGGCGGACTTACAACACTTAACCCAAATCCATTACTGTTTAAAAACTCGATAATCTGACACCACGAACTGTATTCAATCAAAAGGAACAGAAGACTTCATGGTTATTAAAAAAAAAGTAAAAATTAACAATCTGCAAGTTTGTAGGATGGTCTAAGCTTCTTAAGGGTGCATTTGGGTTTTGTGTTGTTGGGGGTAATAAACCACAATATTTGCAGATATTTTTTGGAATTCGAAAACTTGATACTTGCATCTGTAAGTCCGCCCTATTTGCAGATCTGCAAAGTTGCCGCCATATTTGCAGATCTGCAAAGTTGCAGACGTTCTGTAACCTCACCCTTAACCATTAAAACTACTTTTCTACTACCTTCAAACAATATTAAAAAAGAACTAAAACGTAATACCAATTTCAATAACAGAATCGTTCGTTTTTCTTAAGATTCAACTGTTATTGGAACACATTAAATTAGTCAATTTAAAGTAATGCTCAAATATTAAATAAGCATTCAGGTTACAGGGTGAAAAGATTTTAATGAACCCGGCATTTGTCAAGGCAATTACATTACATCAAACACCACATACAGGCACGTACAGTAACATTAGCAACATATGTGTCTTTGGAGGATCTTAGGAGGATGCACAATAGGCCTAGTAAGATCTAAGTGCCGTGGGGGTAACCCACCCTCCACATGTTACAGATGTCTTTGGGAATTTCGCCAGGAACACTATCAGTATACACGAACGTGATTTGTTCTTGTAAATGGAAAATGAACAAATATAAATGTATGTGCCATTTTAATAGTTTTTCATTGTGTGTCGAGAGCAATGAAAAAGCCGATGCGCTTGCTAAGAGAGGAACCGAATCTGAGTTTACAGAACCAGAACCATGGGCAATGATCAAGAGCACTGTTAAAGAAATTATCTCAAAATGGACAGATGATGTAACACTAATGAATTGGAGAGATACCCTAGCCCTGGAGTAACTCAATCGAAGGCGTTTATACTCAACCCTTCCATGAACGCCTCTGCTCAGATCGGTGAATGGAGTAGGAAAAATCTAAGTATTCTTTCACTGATGACAGAACACAGGGCATTTTCATCTAGGTAACTATATGATAGATCTGCAACAAACATCGGACTGTCGATTATGTAGCTGGAAGACGAATTCACAGAGCACATTCTATGTACCTGCTCCACATTGGAAACAACTAGGTTTCAGATATTCGGATTCACCTGACTAGAGCCTACCGAATTTAAACAAGTCTCACCTAATTCAACCATGGTCTTCATCAGATGATGTGACTTGTTCGGTGAACTATAAGTTAGACATGAGCCAAAGTTGATCCAACTGGATCACAATGGAAGGCGAAGATATCACCTTACTCATTTTTAACATAACCTAACCAAGTTTTTCATTGTGTTCTTAGTTAGGGATAAGTTACACCTGTGATTAATAAGTCCAAAGTATGTTATGTTTATTTACCAAATAAAATCGGTTTATCTAGGGACTTTTATTTTGAAGTAGTTTCAAATATACATTTGTGTAATATATTCTCACTAATTTTTCGATTGTCTACCTACATATTTATTCACACCATTCTAGGTGTGAAAGAGATGATACTCCAGTTATTTGCGAAGTCCTGGCGAACCCAAATTCCTTAAGGACTATCAGGATCTTCAATCAGTTGCCAACTTAATACGCTAGTGATTTTTTATTTATTTTGTTTGTTATACTTTTCCTTTTTAGCACTGCGTGAGCGGATGATTCTTGGAGACTCTTCCTCATACCTGAGGTCTAGTGACAATTTTCAGTAGATATTAAGAATTGTTATTTCATCTATTTTTGACTGTGCTGAACACCGCTACATTTTGCGTAAGGAGGGTACATTATTTCTTACTGCGGACCTGTCTGAATCTGTCACATTGTAACGATGTTCCCCAGTAACACCGTTTTAGATACGCCTATGGTTCAGCATGTAGCCGTTTTTGCCAAGCCGAGACAAGTATATAAAGAGCTCCTAATTTAATTCTCGTCAGTCGAACTAAGGTACTGACTTAGTAAGACTCTCCTCTCCTGCTCCTGCAGAGGTATTGACTCTGTAGGCTTCCCGACGTCCCGACCCCTGCCGGCAAAGGTATTGACTTTGTAGGTTTTCCTTTCCCGTGAATCTCTCCCACGAAGGTATTGACTTCGAGGGACTTCCATTACCGTAAACATAACCTAAGCTCTTGTCACGTTTTCGCCACGCCATCCTGGACCACCAAGCCACACCGAATCGACGCACAAAATATATTTTGGGGAACAAAATTTGAAATACATTAATTTATTCCTTTTCGTTTGTAAATATTTTAAAACAATATATGTGTCAATGTTAACTGGCCGTATTACTGGTTAATTCCTAAATTTATTTCCCCCTTATACTTCAGCTAGTGATTAATTCTGTACCAGCCCAAGCAACGATTAAAGCCCGTTACTTGTGGCCTGCTATTACCTGTGTCTAAGTGACCTTTGACCCCTGGAATTTTTCATCTCCATCTGTAGCTACCCGAGTACTTTCGACGCCGTTTCGAAAGTTCGTGGAGTAAACCATCACCAAAAATCTGGCGCTCGAGAACCGCCCGTAACCAGCGTCATTCGTAAGGAATCGTTTTCTCTGTGGCGAGAAAACCCCTTACAACATATTCCTTCTATATCAATAAATGCCTGCATGCCTATTTTTAATGTTTGAGTTATTTTAGTTACAAAATAGTGTTGGGAAGACTTACAAGATTTTCTTAATATATAATGAGTTTAGGCCAGATATGCTGAATTTTTTCAATCCTTTGACAGGGTAAACTGAATGAGAAAAATATTGTTGGCGCCCCTGACGAATAGGAAAGGTAGAGATGGTGGGGTTTCAGTTTGTATCTCAGAAAATGTTTAGAATTTATCGGGTGATTTACAAAAATTGTTTCTAAAGCAGGCCACGATTGACAAAAGTCACGTGTATCGACCAGTTTGCGCTCTTACATATAGACGACCATTTTAGGCTCTGCTATTTTTATAATACCAATGTATATCTATCCTATTATCTTTGGTCAACTAATTTGCATTGTTCTGTAAAATAATTTTAATGTTTTTAAGAAAAACATCGAATTATAAATATCAGGGGATTACACATGTATTGAATATATTTTTAACCCATTGTCTAACAAAACAAATAAGGAAGGTTCGGTTTTTTGAAGTTATATGAAAGAAAAAACCGAAAAATGTCGAGGCAAGATAATTATGGAGATCAATAGAATAATGAAAGAAGCCGATCATCTGTGTTAAGTCAAGTGTTGCAGTGATAGAAGCTTCAATGAAGATAGTTTATTATTTTACTTATAATATAAGTTTTTTTTAAACTAATTTTTCTTTTCTTTTTAATTGTAAAACGTTAAGGTATGAATTTGAAATTATATTGCAAGAGAGCGCAAAGAAAATAGGGTAGATATACATTTTGAAAATCGCAAAATAAAAACTAGTCGATTACAGGTAAGAATGCAAAATGGTGGAGCGTAAAGCGAACATATTCCGAGTCACGTCCAAAGAAGAATTGTACATTTCGAAATGAGTCATTTTTTCCATGTTTTATTTTAGAAATACTTTTTATAGATCACTCCATAGTTACATATTATTGTTAAAAAAGTTCTTTTTATCACTCTATAATTTTTATTTTCATTATCTAAAAAGAAGCTTCTTCATTTTCTCAAAAGCGGATAAAATAATAATAATTATTATTATATACAAATTATTATTTTAATTAATTTTCTATTCGTATTTAGTTATTATTAATAATTATCCCTTTCGTATTATTCACTAATTTATCACCTGAGTTTTTAAACTTCTACTTTAATTAAACGGTCCTAACAATGAAAAACAAATTATTTGCAGTTACAACTATATGTATATGATTATGTCGTTTTTTTACATGTCTCCAAAGATGCCAGCAAAAGTTTTCCGAAGATTTTTCATTGTGTCTTCCGTGTCTTCTGCAAGAGTTTGGGTTTGACTACCTTGTCGTTGAAATGGACGAGGTGGGGGATCTGGAAGACGTCCGACACTTGGTGCGCTACTAATTGTGCTGGACTGGGACGCTAAAAAATAAGATTTACTTGTTTTATAAAGTGAGGTAAAAAATGAGTCAAAACAGTAGTAAACGAATTAAACAAAATCTAAGAGCATAACTGTATTACTATCTATAATGCTTTGCCTGAAGAACTAAAATTACAAGCAACATACACATTTTAAAAAGAAAAGTTATAATATACCTATAAAGAAGCTCTTTTTACTCTATTACCCAATTTTTCAATAAAACTGTGTTAAATTTTACATTATATATATACTGTATGAATTGCCATGTGTATCTTTTTATGTAATGAAGGTTAATAAATTATTCTTATTCTATTCAGCATCACACAGTTTAAGTATTAGAAGGTATAAATAAGAAACACGCACCCTGACTATCCCGTCTACCAACACTACCCAAAGAAGGTGCATCTGAGGCAGCAGATGGTGGTGGCGTATCAGTAATATCCCTTGTAAGACTACTTAAACTTCCTAAAATTCCTCTAGGACCTACTGGTGGGGGAACAACTTCTTCGGTATGCGGAGGTGTTCTTGGTCTGCAGATGGCTTGCATTCTAGATGTGACTAATTCGGCTATATGTCGCCTGTCTTCTTCTTGGGTGTCTCCAAGTAGAGTAAGGGCACTATCATTGACCTAAACAAAAGCAATATAAATTATATAGAATATAAGTTAGAAAAAAAAAAATAAGATACTGAAACTGTACCCATTTGCTTGGAATAGGTATTACTAGTCTGTTTTGTATATCTATTATATCCACTATCAGATAAACCTATTGCAATAAGGCTAGCACAGGCGCAATAATTAATAAATTAATTTTCTATTTTTTGTTTAACGGTAATATCTTAGAAAAGGTTAAACTAATAGTTTTAGAAATGTTAAGAGCTTCATTAGCCAGTTTGAGTAAACAATTGAATACCTTTTTAGGAAAGACAAGAAACATACCAGTCTCATTAGATTTTGTAGAAACGCTCTATATTTGACAGTAAATATCTGTTTTTGTGATACTTTTGTAGAAAATCAACATTTGTGCCAGTAAATATAACACTTGGCCACTAATTATTACAGTTAACTCAATTCGGTCCTTTTTGGACATATGTTGTTTTTGAAAGAAAGTCTTCAATTTTACTAAATTGTATAGGTACTAGATAAATGAATATTTGACTTTTCAGATAAATTGTTTCAGATGAATTGTTTAAATTTCTTTATCATTGATATTGGTAATAGAGGGTCGATAATAAGCTTATCGTTAAAAATATAATTATTAACGAGTCAGGGGATGACATGTATAGCTCATCTGAGTTCAATAACAAATTTAACAACTTTTATTCGACTTTTTGTACCATTTCAACAACGTTTTATATTTAAAAAAGTTAAATCTAAACGACACAAAAATAATTTTTATAACCCAGAACTAAGTGCACTGCATGAGATGCTGTGTGAATTACATAGTATATACATAACTAGTAACAATGAAACTTAGGGATAGATATAAAAAACTCAAATTAATTTATGATAATAAAGTCAAATCAGCAAAACTTTCCTATAATAATAAAAGGGTAATTAATGCAAAAAATTCAACAAAAGAATGTTGGAGAATTGTAAATGAGGCAAAAGGAAAATTAGTAAAAAATTACCCATTGAGATGCTAAATTGTCAAGGCAACAAAATATCTGGTGTACAAAATATATGTAATGCCTTTAATAATCAGTTTACTGATGTAGACTATCTTCTACCAAATTATAGTGAAGCAATGCTTCAAGATATTTCTATAAGCACTCTATTTTCAACTTCAACTACCCCAAAGGAAATAACAGAAATTATACAGAAAACAACTTGTAAAAAATCTGCCAGTATAGATGAAATAGATGGAACAATATTGTCTTTTACTGCTGAAGATATTAGTGTACCTATGTCCTACCTTATAAACGAGTCTTTTTTATGTGGTGAGTACCCTAGCATATTAAAAAAATCAAAATCCATTCCTATATATAAAAATAAAGGGTCTGTAAATGACATGGCAAACTATAGGAACATCTGCATTCAAAGTCAAAGTATTCGAAATGGCCATAATAACAGGTTCATTAAATTTCTAGAACATAAAAGACTTTTGAGTAAATTTCAACATGGTTTTTGCAGAAATAAGTCAACATCTAGTGCTATAGGGGAGTTATGCGATTTTGTTTACACAGCTTTAAATAACAAGGAATTAAATGTTACCTTATACTTCGACCTCTCATGAGCCTTTGCCTCAATTGACCATCGACTGCTAGGTATAAGGGGTCCGCCAAACAAGTGGATATAGTCATATTTAAACAACCGTGAACAAGTTGTAATCAGCGGATGCAGTAAATCAAATTGTCAAAATGTGACAACGGGAGTACCGCAGGGCTCAATATTGGGCCCTGTTTTATTTTTAGTTTTTATTAATGACTTAGTTCTATCTTGAACAAGTCAAAGTACCAAAATTAGGTAATGTTGTAGTTGACGGGTCTAAAAATGACGCATATCGGGGACAACACTAATCATTTGTAATTGCTGTGGTGGGAGGTGTTTGTATGAATGCGTCTTGTTTGTTTTCATTTACACCGTGATTAGCAGTAGTATTTTATAAACCTTAGAAGCAAATTTCACATACATGAACAAATAATAATAATGCCGTGACAACAAGAAGACGAAGCAACATCTTCTCGTAGGGTGGCGGCTTCGCCGACACCAGAAAATTTCGATCCGTACCTGCCTACGCCGACCGGCATAAACACCAACGGCCTGGACACAGCTCACCTACTCTGTCAAAAAGAGACCAATGTACAAATAAAACATGCACACTACAAATGATTATGTTGTCCCCGATATGCGAGTTTTCCAGACCCTTCAACTACAACATTACCCTAAATTATATATGCAGATGACACAACTTTTGGAACATCAGCAGAAAATGCATCTGAACTTCAATATATTGCTAATAGTGCTGCACATGAATTTTATAGTTATTGTATTTCATAGGGCTTAAATGTTAATGTAAAAAAATCTGAAATCATGACCATTCAACCAAAAAATATACCAAACGACTTCAGCAATCATTGATACAAATAAATTCGAGCAAATTCTTAGGTCTAATTCTGGACAGCAAGTTAACATGGAAGAACCATGTAGATCATGTATCAAATAAACTAAGTAGTGTATGTTTTCTAATGAGGCAGTTAAAAACACTGTAAATCCCTATGTTTTAAAATTAACATATTTTGTTTTGGTTGAATCAATTACCTCATACAGTCTAATTTTTTGAGGCTGCTCAGCTCATCTGCAGCGATCCTTCTGTGTACAAAAAAAAGTTATAAGATGCATGCCTGAGGTTTCAAGAACAACTAGCTGCAAACAACTTTTTCATGACTTTAAAATCCTAACACTTTCATCCTTGTATACAGTGAGCACCATAAGTCTTACCCCCCCCCCCCCCCTATCTAACTGAAGTCTTGTTAGGAAAATCGCTGAGACACGTCGATTTTTGATTTCTACAATGTACATTTTTGTGTGAATAGTTTACCCTTAATTTCATCCCTTACTGGAGGGAGCAACCCTTTCGAAAAATTTAAATGGCATGGGGTGGTGAGTGATAGCTCATTCAAAAGAGGGTTTTATTCTCTATTCAACCATGTAAAAAATTTTAAAATTTGCTTCATTAATTCTCGACTAATTGTTGTTTCAGAATAACGGAAATTAAAGTAGCGCACTCATCGTTAGAATTAAAATTCTGCCCTGCATGATTTCGGTTTTGGTTCAGACGTGAAGTAAGACTTTTTGCCATTAGAAGGTCACTGTTAGTTTAGTTGCTTTCCTATTTTGTGAGGTTTTGTTATTTTTAAACATTAATAAATCAACACGTAATGAGGCAAAATTCAAAATTTTTTGCACGGTTAAATAGAGAATAAAACCCCCTTTCAAATGAGCTATCACTCATCACCCCATGCCATTTAAATTTTTCAAAAGGGTTGCTTCCCTCCAGTAAGGGATGAAATTAAGGGTAAACTAATCATACAAAAATGTACATTGTAGAAATCAAAAATCGACCTGTCTTGGCGATTTTCCTAACAAGACTCCAGTAACGAGTTAGTTAGGGGGGGGTAAGACTTATGATGCTCACTGTATATACTTATTAATACTTAATATAAAAAACAGGAATCCCAACTATCAGATTATAGACAGAATTCCGAAATCTGCAGAGGTGTTGCATGTTTTAATAGATATACTCAAGTCATTGGTAATAAAAAAATCTTTAATGTATTCAAAAATAATTGTAGCATGTCTCTACTTTTTAAAATTGTATGTGTTGACAAGGCTAATAGGTCTTATATGTTTATACATTTTTTAACCTTTTTAAAATATTGTAAATATGTATGTCTCAAAGCCGAATAAATATTATTATTAAAGATTAAAAAAAAAACCTTTTACTTTGGTTTAACCCTACAGGTAATATATTCTAAACATAGTAACTGAAAATACCAATCGTTTCTGTCCACTCTGTACTAACAGATTACATACTTAGCCAAAAAAATATTTGACAATACCCTGGTAAACTTAATTGATGTTATGCTCAAATGGTGTTGTAAAATTGTAGACTTTTATGGCAACAAAGAAAGAGCTAAGAGCTTGGGAAACAAATTCAAGTGTGGCTATTCTTGAATTCGAAGTAATAGATAATAAAATGAAAAACAAGTAAAAACAAATTAAAAACATTGAGAATTAAATAAAAGAAAAAAATGAATGCATCAGCCAGGGCTCTACCCTGAAACCTTTGGACATGTGTGCCTCTACCAGTTGGACTGGGAATGAAGGATCTTGGAATTTATTGTAGTACAAGCTAAGCTTAGTGACCTTCTGTATGATGTTGCAATGTTAGTTTTAAGCAGTGGCGGCTCGTGAATTGTGTAATAGGGAGGGTTGAGTATAAGGGCACCAAAAAATTAATACCCAAAAAATTTTACAGGGTCATTTGAATATGCAGTTTAACAAATACAATATAATGGAAATATAGGTAGCTAGATATATACTTACCAACTAACTGAGCAACTAACTTTTGAAATGAAAAATCATCCGACGATTTTTGTCTTCAATAAACTTGTCAATGACTTTTTCATTAAAGTTTTCAATTTCATGCACCATAGTTTTTTCAATAGATAGCATCGCCAGTGCTGTTATGCTTTCTTTGTTCATTGTACTTCTTAAAAACGATTTGATTAATTTTAATGTAGAAAAACATCTTTCAGTTTCAGAAGTCGTCATAGGAATGGTAACCAAAATTTTTATAACTTTCACAATTTCTTTAAAAACACTTTCTAAACCAAAAGAAATAATAAAGTTCAATGTGGGTAAGCATCCAGTAAAATTTTCACTTTCATTGGGGTTTGCAGATTCTGAGGCAGAGTCAGTTACTTCTTCTCGGGAATAAAACACAGCTAGTTCTATTTTTAAAGCTTCCTTATCTACCATAGGATATGCATTACAAAATTTTTCAATATCTTGAAATGGTAGATTCTTTTTATAATCTATATAACATTCTTTTAAAAACAATTTTGCACCACTTAAGTGATCTTTAAAGGCAAAACGATGTTTCACCTCTGAAATTATTATATCACACACTTCCCTTGCAGATATATTAATATTTTCTTCGTTAAGCCTGCGTCGTTTTTTTTCTACTTCTCTAGGTCGTTCTGTGTCATTAGCAATAGAAGGCAAGTTGCATCTAACATTTTCAATCTCTTTTTCGAATCTATCGATACAAATCTGAATTTTAACTACATCAGTCTCAATTTTTTGAATTTGGCTATATAAAATGTCGACATGGGTCATGACTTTGGAGAAAAAATTCAACCAAAACAAAAAATTATCATCTTCTAGCCATTTAAGAAATCCAGATGCTTCTTTTACAGTTTCCACATTATAATTTTTGGGAATTCCTGCTACTATATTTTCAAAGCATTCTATAATCTCCTCTCTGTTGTTAAAAACAGATTGTACGAGGAGAGAGTGAAAATTCCAACAGGTTTCTGACAGTCTTGGAATATGTTTGTCACAAACATCATTCAGAGCTGCCATTCTGTCTGGCGATTGAGAAAAAAATGTGGACATGCCTTTTAAATTTGAAAAAAAGACTCTAACACTAATTATACTTGAAACTGTCTGTTCTATTATTTTATTTAACTGATGAGCATAGCAATAAACGAAATGCGCATTTTTGTAGTGTTCCTGAATTTTTACATTAACACCCACTACATGGCAGCGCATAACAGCCGCTCCATCGTATGTTTGACTAATTAACTTATCAGGACAATCTTCTAAGATAGGTGAAATTTGTTGCAAAATACATTTTGATAGTTCACTTGAATCTTGGCTTTCTGGGTTTGCAAAACCCCAAAAACGCTCGTGTATTTTTCCATTCAATTCGTATCGTAAAACAATGACAGTCTGCATAAGTGTCGAAACGTCGGTAGTATCATCAGTCATAACAGCAAGAAACTGAGTCTTTTTAGTTTCTTCTAAAATGTGTTCACGGGATACGCTCAACATACATTGAAGAATTTCATTTTGGATTGTTTTCGAAGTGGCTTTAAATACGGTTGGTTCTTGAATATGACTATTAAAGGTACCGTCGGCATTTGCTAAGAAATCTATTAATTCTAAAAATACGCCTTTATTTAAAGAGCCTTTTTTCTCGTTATAACCGTGAAGAGGAAGATTACACGTTCCGCATAGTTTTAATATATCTATTATTTTTGAAAGTACCTGTCTATTCTTTTTAACTGTTTCATTATGTTTACGAATTTGTTCCGTATAAGCACTACTAATAGATGTAGCAATATTAATTTTTCCCAACATTTGAAAACTTACTATATTGTTTTTATGTTTGAAACTCTGTTCGTGTTTTTTTATTTTCAATGATAGATGTTTTAAATCATTAACCCCATTTTTTGTCCAGTCGTCGTCTCCTCCACCAAAAAGCAAACAAACAAAACAAAAAAATGAATTTGTCTCTTCGCACCCACAAATCCAGATAGTTTTATTGTAAATGTTTTTATCAAACTTACGTTTAAAAGAATTTCGGTGTTTGTACTGCGGTTGTTCTTGTACTATATGTAATTCTGGAGTGGGACGTCCAGAATTTTTTAAAGCAATTTGTTCATTTAAACTTAGGCGGCTGAATACAAGGCTTTTTAATTCCGTTACTTTCATGATAAATAATTATTGCGAAGATAATTAAATAAACAACACCACACTAAATCAAAATAGCAAAACAAAAACAAACCAAAAATCGATCGCGAGTGGGCTGACTGAGCTGCGCCCAAAGCAAAGCAGAGTTGCCAACTTTTCAAGTTCCATTTACCGTACCGCGCAATTCAAATTATCGTACATGGCCTCCTTGATACCGTACACTTTTATTTTATAAGTATTTTGTCAAGTAAAAAAAGGTCCTCATTATATGTATTAATCAACCTCTGGTCCTTCTACCGAGCTTCTAAACAAAGTCTTCATTATATATTTTAAGCTTCTAAAAAATGCACTTTTACATAGATAAATGCCATTTAATATTCGTTTAGTACTTTAAACTTCGTTTAACACAAAGGTTGAATCGGCCCTTACACAAATCAAACGCTTGTTGATTCTGTTCAAAAAACCGTACGTTTACCATACTTTTTATGTAAATACCAAATACCATACTTTTATGTACGGTAATAATGACTTTGGACCGTATACCGTACATTAATCGAAATTACCGTACAAGTACGCTAATTACCGAAGATTGGCAACGCTGGCCCAAAGAAGTAAAGAGCAGTGTTAGTGTTGCCAGTGGCGTAGCCAGCCATTCTACATGGGAAGGGTTTTTGAGAATTATGGGCGAGTTCCATTAGGAAAGTGAATAAAAACAGTCAATAGCGAACGGCAATGGAGGGGGTGAAAAGATCGACCATTAGGGCCGATATTTTCATCTCTGAGTAAAGTTACATGTATGTTTACTTGAGAGATTAACGAACAATAGCCCTATAGTTTAATGAGCAAGTAGTTACTTTCAACTTTACTCAGAGGTGAAAAGATTGGCGCTAAATCTTATTAAAATGCTCCATTTTTCCTCACAATAGCATTAAAATCCTTACAAATTCCTCACACATATTTAGGAACACAATTTAGATTCAAATCCATAAAAATAAGAAGAAACTATAGTTTTGTTTGTTTTTTTGTAGACATTAGACAAACAAAACAATTTAGTTGAAGATAACTATATTTTCGTTCTAATGGTAATAAAAAATATTAGGTAATCTATAAATCAGTCCATTTTCGTAAAAATGTCAGAACACAAACAATAAGCAGCTCGTTCTTTGAAACCAAATACATTCTTCCTTCAGAAATTCAGCATTGTCGGTATTTTTGCCAGTGGTCTGGCGCCATCTATCAGATTTGGTCATCACTCTCTAAACTACTAATGATAATTTATAGAAACCAAAAATATTCAAGATCTGATTTTTAAACTATTGCTTAAAAAAAGAAGCGCTAATGCTGAGAAAGTGGTTCTTTTAACAAAAAAAAAACAATTAAAATTTAGAGTTGTTACTATCATAATTCGCCACATAATTTTGATGAATTAGCTTAATAATACTGAATCCTCACAATTGGGTCAATGCTCCCACTTTTGCTGTAAGCCTCATATTAGCAACACTATATGGTACCGTCTGCTCATCAACCTTCCACTCTTACTCACGTAAATGAGGTTGCCCTAAGCACAGTATATACAAATTCCAGGCTTGACTTACTTTGTTTTTTGTTTGTATTGTGGCTGTTGTAAACCTTTTCTTACATCGGTTCTTTATTGGCTTGCTTATATTTATGATTTTTTGTGCTTTGATTTCGATTTAGTATTAAATTATACCTGATAATTATTTTCCGATGCACTATTTTATAATTGTTGCACAAAATATTATTAAACCGTCCCTGAATCTTGTTTACAAAATGTTCAAAACAAAATTGTGCATAGAGTGCTATGCTTTTTCATTGACAGTTATCGCATTCTGCCCCTCTCTACTTCATTAGCGGCGCCCGTCAACGCATGCATCCAAAATACATAATTTCTTAGACTACTCCGCGATCTACACGTTGACGTCGATAACCATGGCAACCACAAAGTGGCGCTAATTTGATTTAAAAGTTTAACATTGGCGTGAGGTCTCTAGAGGATAAGTGCTTTGTGATGGCAACCGTCCAGCGATTTGCTATGGGCTGCTCGTACTACGCCGATACAATAATTAGATCGCGCATTTATTAGATTTTTTCGTTCGCTGTTGGTGGGTTGGTGCAGTGTGCAACAGTGTCACTTACACCACCTTATTTACCTAGTTTACTTTCTCCCTATTTCTTATACACATGTCGACACATGGCCGACAGGAAGGTGTAGAGGATTTTAAACCGGGCCAAACGTAAGGTTGGTTAACTAACTGCGATACAACCCGCCCTTAGTGTCCGTTGGTGTAGTTCATTCCTACACCAGTGGGACGAACAAAAGAACCTATTATATGATAGAGAAAAACCGTATTATTCCTATTCGTATTGTACTGATCCGGCTCGTCAGTAGCTAATTAAATTGTTCGCTCACAAACTTTATTATTGCATTTATTTGAGTTTGACTCTGTTATTGTTAATAAATTTAAGAGGATTTAAATAAAATTACTGATTAAGTATATGGAAATACTAATTTACGGATGACTCCTGCTACTTCCCAGAGAGGGCGGTGCACCTGCGCCCTCCCTCACAAGCCGTCACTGGTTTTAAGAAGAATTAAGAGAGCTGGGAGGTGAGGGAAGGACATAGAAATAGTAGGGAAGGATGTATGTGTGTGTTCCAGCGAGTGTTGGAATATGATGAATTCCAATCTACAAATTCGACAGTAGTCCAATTGATAGAGGCGCCAAGGGTTTAACTCGGAGGTTCCAGGTTCGGCTCCTTGGTCGATGATCTTATTTATTATTTTCTTTATTTCTCAGCTTTTTTAATTTTTCATTTGTTTTGTTTTCACTTTGAGGAATAATAGGGATTATATTTTAACATTTCCAAAAATTGCAGGATTTTTTTGTCTTTATCTCGCATGTACAGAATTTGTATTTTTGTCTACAGTCGAAAAATAGATACACAAGAGAGTGATTTCAATTAATCATTTATACGATTGGAGCCGATAAATTAACACTTATTTTGACAATTACACAATATAAATATCATTGGAGTATTTACAACATTAAAATTACCTCTATAATATATTCACTCCCGTCTTTTCCAACGACAACTTCAAGAGCACAAATATCCAATCCTCCAAATAAGTCTGAAACCTCATCGATCCAGTTTTTGTATCTTTCCGGCATTGATATTTGTTCCAATATTGCCGAACCAGTATTTGTTTTCCAACATCCTGAAAACAATATGAAAATAATAGTTTGTTATTATAATATCCTTTGTTTTGTCAATAGGTTAATCTTAAATACATTAAAAGATACATTTTAATCTACAATTCACAAGCTTAACATTTAAGTTGTCATAAGTAAAATAAAATAAACACAGTAACACATCTAAACGTTTTAAAAAAAATTATTTATAACCATTTAACAGATAAACTTTTAGACTATATTTAAAGCTACTCAAGGAGTTCGGAAGTTGGTTGTACTCTTATAGAACATATCTTATAATTTGCGTGTAATGTACTCGGTTTATTATAATGACAAGCAATTTTTTTGTAATATATCAGCTATAGTAAATTCCTGCTTAAAATTTATTTTCGTGCCCTGTTTTCGATCAGCTGATACCTCAAATTCATAAAAGCCACGCCTCCGGAGTACAATACGTCACAGTGACGTAGTATTAATGGAGTAATTTAGTGGTGATGCAATTGATGTGACTGTAGACTTTTTGAGTGCGTTCTGTTCATTTTGTTTACTAAATTATATCGTTTTTTTAACTTTTATAACTATATTCCTAAAGTAAGTACGTTTTTGTTAAAAGTTTGGTTAGAAGTTGCATCACACAAATATGGCGTATATCATACCTTCTTATAGTATTATGATGTTTAACAGAGCCAGTCTTAATATACAGAGTGAAGGTTGTTTGGCTTTCATAGTCAATCCAGATTTAGAAAGAAAGTGAACCGTGTCAATCTTAATCTACTAAAGATACCTAAATAAATAACATTTTAATAATACCTACATCCAAACTCAGGACAGGACAAAGGGTGACAGACAACTTAGATAAATAAATCCATTTATATATACTCATTCCTTGTTACAGCATATTATATTTGTAACTATTTATATTTGTTAAGTAAAATTGATTAATTAAAAAATCTACCTGAAATTGATTTCCTCATGAAGGCTTTATAGTTATGTCCAATTTTTTGAACGTGAATATCGTATTTTGAATCGATATATGACTCCACAGTACAATAGGTATTAGCTACTGCAACTACACTAGCCAAATCTTGGAAGTCATTTATATTGTCTACTTTAACTTTTCCCAGACCTCCGTGTGCATGACCTATTTTGATAACTATTGGAAAACGTGTTGATGTTATCTGAAACAAAATATAATAAGTTATTATTAACAAACTAGAGTGTACTATTTTTTAATTCTTTCATTTTTAAATAATGATTGTAGAAAAGGGCTTATTGATGATATTTTATAATATTGTATACTCTGGAACTGACATTCGTGACATTTTAAAGCCACAAACTAAGCGCGTCCATCCTCCTACTAATTGTATGTACCGAAGTACTTTTAATGAAATGGGCTCGCAACTGCGCATCCTAATTTCTTCAAGGTCAGTGGCAGACCTACTAAGCATTCCTCATCTTTCTATATGGCTTTCGTCACCATAGAAAAATAATTCGTCACTCGAGCGACACCATATACGAACATAAACATTTCCAATGTTAAAAATCGAATAATTAAAAGACGGCAACCACGAAGTAATTGGGTAAAGGAATGGTTGTTGTTACAGTGTGTGATTAATTTTCACATATAAACTTAATAAAAGAACCCTTATTAGATCCTGTAGATTGGCGAAATTATCTGTGTATGGATGAAGATAGTTAAGTCACAATGTTACATTTAGTAACACCGCTAATATAAAAACAAGACACATGCATGACACCTGTCATATTATCTCATGGAAGACTATTACCCTTAAATATCTAGCCTCTGAGAGGAATTATGAAGATTTTAAGTTTTCTAGCATTATCTCACCTCAATCATACATAAACAATCAATACTTTTGTTCTGATATATTATCAATTCACTTGTTTAATTAGCTGAACATTTATCTTATTTGTTAAATTTACCAGTATAATAAAATTGAATAGTAATAAGGTGCTAATGTGTCTAGGTATTACTAAGTAATGACTTACCATTTCATGATGATCTGGATAGAAAGTTTGTTCAATCAAAGGGAAGTTTTCTTTGCCCAGTCGCCTTTGCAGTTGTACCAAATGACCAAATACCCATGGCTTATCCTAAAAAAAGGAAAAATGACACTTGAACGATACAAATAATATAAATAGCATTATAACCGTCTATTAAAGGACACCGCACTTTCTACATTGAATTTAGTTTAAATTTAGGTATCTTATTTTTCAAGTCATTAAAAACAACTGAAAGTAATGTCTAATAATTCTGAGGAAAAATGTTGTACATTATTACACATTGTGAGCCAAATGATACACAAACAGTAAGCACATAGTACGCAAATAGTACGTAAATAGTACGCGAATAGAACGCGAATAGTATGCAAATATTACGCAAATAGTAAATAAATAGTATGCAAATAGTAAAAAAGGTCGCAGCTATTAAAAGTTGATGACCTAAAAATGGTCGTTGCTCAATTGTTCTCCAGGTCACCAACGATGCCTGCCAAGAGAAAATACTACGGAATTGTACACAAAAAGCACAAAATAGTGCAACAAGGTACAAATATAGTACACAAAATAGTACATGAACTACAGAAATAGTACAAACAATACACAAATAGTATATAAAATATACAAACAGTACATATAGTACAGATTTTTTGAACACCATAGTACAGCAGCAGTTTGTTCCTCGAAAAATTCTCACACTTTTTAAATAATGACCGGTCCGGAAATGGTTTTTTTATTCTTGCAACTTTCCTTCTTGCTTGGCCACCGGGTCGCCAGACCAAAATCCTTGTGATTTCTTATTTTTTCTTTATTTTTGTGGTTGTTTTTTTAAGTTTTTTTTTTTCTGTTTTTTCTAGTTAAAAAAGAAGAGTCAAGATTAAAACACACGTTAATTTGAAAAACAATACGAGAAATACTTTTTGGTGAATACAACTTTATTTCTTTGTTGTAAAGAAACACCAGTTTTATCAATTAGTAAAAAGATTGGATAATACGTTTACTATTTTATTATTAATATTACAATTATCGTCACTCAAAAAGCGGCGAAATCTCTTGCTATAAACATTATCAATCAATGTATTAGGTAGAATGTTCAAAAAGACAAGCATTTTTTAACAGACACTTCCGTAACTCTCTTTATGATCCACCCCGTATAAGTAATGTATAGCAAACATAAGAACAACAATATATTTTATTATTCAATCTATACATTGCATTCATTACCTAATTTAAACATTTCATTTAAATTACGTTTAAGTTTAAATCAAAGCCAACCCTGGAAAGTGCAGAAATGCAGTTTAACGTATTTCAAAGGTCCAAGAAAAACTTTATATGAATACCTGCAGCATATCTAAAAAAAGAAATGTAGTATTGTTCAATAAAAGTAACAGGAGTTACAGACATTTCCGATGTATGTTATCCATAATAACTTCGAAACCTTGTATTTAAAAGTGGTGGTTATCGCCGTGTGGATCGGACGGACATAATTTTTCACCCGGGCTATTACCATTGGGGTCGTAGAAGCCCATCCATTGGCCACTTTCTGTCAAATAACACTTCGCATCTGCCTGTAGCAAGAGGTGACTAAAAAATTGAGAGCGTTTATAGACATCTCTCGGTGAAGTTATCAACCAGTTGTTTTTCCCTATATATTCCTAGAGGATGCACAATGTGCGTAGTGAGGCCTAAGAAATGTGGGGACAACCCACCCTTTCCACCTTACAGACAGATACAGAAAGTGGTTATGAATGCAAAGTGTATCACAATTTGTATGCAACTAAAAATTATTTACAACTTAGTTGATATAAATAAGTAATCTGTCACTTTCCATTAACGAATTCGCTGATTTAATAAACGGTAAAAGAATAACAATTAATAATAATAATCATATCATACCTGAAAGTTATAAATGGCGTTCAAATTGTTGATACTTGGAACTCCACCAAACTTTAAAGCTAATAAAAGTCTCGTATGGTCCTCTCCAGCGTCCTTTAGGTTTTGTCTAACCTAAAAAATAAAATAGCAATAAAAACTTGTAAAATATTTAATAAACTCAGGCTTAAGACCACAGTACCACCCCCAATATTCGTAACATGAACTAATTTTGATAGATGTCATTTATGTGTCATAAATTAAGAATCCTTTTGTTCAGCAGATGGAGCAATATTCCATATTTAATAGTTCTTTTGTTCAACAGATGGCGTAATAATTTTATTAGTTCTAAACGGTAACTGTTATAAAATACCTAACAAATTCATCACCCCTAGCTACTACGCGATAATAACTAAACGAGTTCTTGACCTTGACAAATATTTTCGATGAAACAGGTATAAAAATAAAACTTTTGCATTAGATTCGGCACGTCGGTATATTTATTTAGTAGCAGCGTTGGGTTTATTAGTACAATTGTACTAGATTCAGTACATTTCAACCATTCATAAATGCTAGTACCACAAAAGACAAAAGTATCTAAATCTAGTACATTTTAAATATTTCGCTGGATCTTCTAGAATAATGTATTCTATGATTTCCAATTTCTATGCTAGACAGTAGATACTTCTGATACTCCCAATGCGATACTTTATACCAGGGAGGCTATTTTCAAAATCGAGAAAAGTCATTCCTCTCAAGAGAAATGTCATAATATGTCAACGTAAAACAGTATTTTTAGGGCCCTTGGGGCCAGTGTGAACTCACAGATTGTTTCTCTTGGTTTATTTAGAGGGAATACAAATTCTCGTAAGAATTTTAATCCTCGAGGCCTTTAAAACAGCGTTTCCACATTGACGTACGACATTTCTGATGAGAATCTTGAGAGAAATGAGTGCTCCCATACTTTGAAAATAATGGGTAAGAGATAAGGGAGTATGAGTCTTCATATAAGGGACATAAATATAAGATACGCTCCTAAGCATATGCTTAACAACCACCAGCTCGAACGCAGTTACATCTGGCCCACTATGTGTCGCTATCATCGATATCAAACAAATAACCCAGCGGGAAATTTAAAAACCTGATAAATATCGACTACACTTTCATGTTCTAGTAAATAAATTTAAACATTGTTAATTACGGTAAATTATTTATTAAAAAGAATACTACACTTACAGTCTATTATAGATTAATTATTGTAAATCTATTGACATAACAAATATTTTTTAATTTTTACCCTTATTTTATTTGTTTTTCTATAAAAAATAAGTGTTTGTTTTTATTTTTAAATTTTATTATTTAACCATATAAAAATATATTTTTGTTTTACGTATTTTAATTTATATTTTTTTGTTTAAAATAAAGTTTATTTTGGTTTCTTTTTAAATTTTTTATTTACCAACGTAAGAATATATTTTTGTTATACCCATTTTATTTATTTTTTGGTTTAAAATGAGTTTGTGTTCTCATTTGAAATTTATCGCCAAATCTAGTACGTTCTGGTACAATCACGATCTGAATTTCAGTACAAGCTGTTGCTACTAAAAACCCAACGCTGTTTAGTAGTTCATTCTTGTGTCCAATCAACAAAGGACAACGGTCTTCGTATCATTACGTAGGGACCACTTATACTATACATAGTGTTTCGTTAAGAATGAGATATAGAACAACTGACGATTCTCTGATTAAAAATAAGACAACTAAACAAATCATGCTTAGATAAAATGTTTCTTGGTACCGAGTTAAGGTGTTAAAATCCAAAAAATATTTATTGCTTTATTTTTTTTATTACTCACAACAATTTTACTAAATTTGGCAAACGTTTTTGATGTCAAATTATCCACCTATCAGCAAAAAAATAAGTTACCTTAATTAACTTTTCCAGTGGCGTACAGCATTCGTTCGTAATACCGCATACCTCTTAAATTTTACGTCACTATCCAAAATGTTATTTGGACATAAAATTTTAAATTTTTTGATGTTTTTAAAATAAATAATGTACCCTTAGAAATTAAATAAAAAAAAAATCGAAATTTAAAAACTACAGAATTTTCTAATATGTGCGAATATCTCAAAAACTAACTCAACTTTATTTAAAAAACATCAAAAGTGGACGTGGACTAAAATTTAGAAGGAAAAAGATGTTACTGGCCCATGACGTACGCCACTGGCAAAGCTTATTTAACTTATTTTTTGCTGATAGATGTATTTTATTACACCAATAACGTTTGCCGAATTTAGTAAAATTAAACTGAGTAATAAAAAAATTGTAGCTATTTATAATTTTTGATTTTCAACTTTAAAACTCTGTTTTTCGGAAACAAGTAATGTTTTACCTACGGATGTTTCGTTTAATCGGCTTATTTCTAATCAATTAATCTTCAGTTGCTCCCATTCTTAATGGAATACCATGTATATACCGAAAGGTCTTACAGCCAAAGAACCAAATAAAAAAAGAAAAATGTACCTTATTTACCAACAATACTTTATTTAGATCTGCATCAGTAAAAAATATTTTCAAAAAATTTAATCTCATTTATATGTAAGTTGGCGTCATCGGCATACGGAAAACCTTTTTAAGAATTAAAAAAAAAAAACTTATTTTTCATAAACAATTGCATGGTCTATTAATTTTAGAAAAAAAGTTACTTTACATAAAAAGTTATTCATGGTCTAAAACCTAAATTTCAATTATCTGATATCAAATTTTATCAGTCGTATACAGGGTTTGTCGAAAATAAAGGTATTTTATCTTGAGAGCAAAATTATATTTTTTGACAAACCTTGTAAAACCGACTGATAAAATTTGCTATCTGGTGGTTGCATTTTCTGTTAGACCATGCATAAATTTTTATGAAGAATAACTTTTTTTCGTAAAATAAATAATAAAAAAGTTTTCCATTTGTTATCAACTTACATAGACCTACTGTGTGTATGCAACTTATGACATATTGCTGAGATAATGTTTTTGTAAGAAAAAAGAAATTAATCATAAAATTTTACTTCATTTGTAGAGTCGTAATTTATGTTTTCATATTTCTACTTTTTTTGTCAATTTAGAATTCCAGTACTATTTTCAATTATAAATAAAAATTACGTATTTTAGATTAATCAATAAGAAAAATAAGCATTTTTGAAATATTAATAACTAAATACAAATTAAACAACAAATTAATAAAAAAGCATTTAAAACACGTTGACTGCCGAAGCAAATGTTGTGGTTGGGTCTTAGTAAACTACAATATCTAATAGACGCATGAATAAAATATATAAACGCGGCGCGAGATTAAATTATTACAAACATAGGTCGCGTGCATATATTGTGAATAATATATTCAGGTTGTCCCATTAGTGCATAATTGTTCAATATTTTAATTTGTGTTGTAAACACGTATACAATTTCTAAATAAAAGTTATATGCATTTTAAAAATAGGTATTTTAAAGATATTTTTAGACATACAGGGTTTTGCGTTTTTGTCTGACAAATAAAACGGTATATTTTTTAAAAAGAAATCCCTGTATTTTACTTCAGTTTTTGAATGCTTTGGTAATGCTGTATTTAACCCTAGAATTTTATTAACAAATATTGCAGGGTTGCCAATAAATTAATTTTTTTTATGAAATTAGAGAATGATTCAGACCCCAAATTAAATTATCATTATTTAGGTAGGTTTAAAATAATTTCAATTTTTTTTTAAATGTAGTAATAAGATAGTAAGCTAACGAATAGTGGTAATAGAACTGGATTATTTTGTACAGTGTGTTTTGAAAAACAAGTCTTAAATATGGCTAATTCCAAGTTAAATTTATTTAATTTTTTTCAAATGCCACACCCTGTATATTATTTAAGCATTCAATTCCTTATAAATTAACATATCCAACGATATCAATAACACATATACAGGGTGTCCCATGAGTGCGTAATTGGTCGATAGCAGTTTTATAATAGGAAATACGAAAAAATTAATATAAAAGTTGTATGACCATAATTAACAGTTATTTATAAATATACAGGATAATCCATAAACGATTGTCTGACCAAACCTATACATTTTTAAAGTAAAACTTGACTGTTTTCACATCGTTTCAATAATTTCAATTTCATTCATTTGCTATGTTGTATATAGGATGTGTGAAAATGGTCACGATTTTCTTAATTTTCTAAATGGAACACCTTGTATGTTATGCCACCAATTAATATAATATTCCATTGAAAAAAATTTAAGCGTATGTAACCTCGCGTGTTGACACACTCTATATAGAACATAGCAAATGAATAAAGTCAATTAAAATTATTTGACGACGTGAAAACAATCAAATATGTATAACTACCTGCAGGGTGTTTTGATTTAAAAATGTATAGGTTTGGTCAACATCTCGTTTATGGACCACCCTGTATATATAGGAATAATTTTTAATATGGTCATATAACTTTTATATTATTTTTTTTTCTTATTTCTAATAATAAAACAGCTATCGATCAATTACGCACTGATGAGACACTCTGTATATATGTTATTCTCTAACATGTTGGTATCGTTGGATATGCAAATTTATAAGGAATTGTATGCTAAAATATTATATCAAATGCTGCCTTTGAAAAATTGAGTAATTTGACTTAAAAGTAACCATTTTAAGACATGTTTCAAAACACTCGCTATAAAAGAATCCAGCACTATCACTACTATTCGTTATCTTAATGTGCTATAAGTCAGTATATTAAACAATTTTGAATTATGATAATTTAATTTAGGGTCTGCATTATTTTCTAATTTTATAAAAATTTAATTGCTTGGCAGACCTGTAATATTTTTTTAAATTATTCTAAGGTTGAATACAGTATTACCGAACCATTCTAAAATTGAAATAAAATACATGTTCTATTTTAAAAATATACCAAGCAAAAATGTAGCACCCTGTATATATCTAAAAATATTTTTAAAATATGTATTTTTTAAATCCATATAACTTTTTTTTTAAACATGTTTGCGTGTCTTTAACATAAATTAAAATATTGAACAATTACGCACTAATAGGACATACACATGGGTACATACACATAGCAGTCAACGTGTTAACTCAGAAATAAGATTCCTTATAAAGATAAAATAACATTCAGGAGAAAAAAGCAAAGACCGCCAATATTACGTGCGTATCATACAATGATGCCAGGTCATTCGGATTTAATTTACATCGGAATGCAATAAAGTTCCTTCCCTTTCCTGCATTTCACTATTGTATATTTCACCCACTTTAAAATCAAATTCGTCCTAGAAAGAATTGTGAAATTATCGTATAAATCGATAATCTGGCAACGTGGTCAACACTTGTTCATACACAGGCAAAATCAATCGATAATTTGGAACCAAACGAGACAAATATATATGAAAAGCACGAAACAATAAAAGACGGCATACACCTGTATCACTGTTTCAAAAATTGGTACCTCTAAACAATCATTTACCTATTAAAACCATCTCTAAAGTAGAATAGCTATACTGTTTTTTACGGTGACATCTTCTTAAAAATAGATGAACTACATGAACTGTACACAATTACAGGAATTCATAGAAAATCTCTAATTTGACAAATAAATTTATCAAATATTTGTTAATCGTATTTCAAGTTAGATTTGAAAAATACGCAATAAAATTTAGAAATATTTTGGCGGGATACTTGGAAAAATATGTAGAATGAAATCTCCTACTTTTTAGCCTCTGGTTTTAAAATCACTTTTTATGATTTTTTTTTAAATTCAGTGTATAAACAGGACAAATAAAAAATAGGAGATTTCATTCTCCAAACCTTATACTTTAAGCTCCCAGCAAACATGAATTTGAGCACAAACAGCGGGCCGACGTTGCAATCGTTGGCACACAAGCGGCAGCGGCTGGCCGCCATAATAGCGATGATAATGTTTAAGCGGTTCTAGTCTTTAGGCGAATTGTATACTTGTTTATTAAGGGCCTTAATAATATTAACTTAAATTTTCCGCTGCTGAATTGTAATGCAAAGGTACATTAAAAATTCTTCAGTTGCGGCCCGGCCCGCACGTTGACGTCAGTTACAAATTTGGGATGGTAGCCCTTGCAAATATAATTCAAAAATAAGTGTTGGTAGCACTGGTGCTTATTGACGTATTGACGATTGACGTTTTATTATCCCTCCAATTCCAATAAGAAACAATAACCTCAATTTTTCATGATTTTTTCTTGACCTCTGGTCGGTGTTTGTTTAATGCAGTTTTAAGTTTAAGACAATTTTAGTTACCTATTAATTTCGAGTCTGTGATTTCGACAATGAGCCAGGATATTAAAAAGTAAGTAGATTATTTTATTTCCATTTGTTATTAAAAATCTTTTATTTTCGTGTTTCGGGGTTGCAAAATTACTCAATAGTTTTAAAATTGATCAGTGACAATTTTGTTAACTAAAATTATGGTTCTTTTTCTCTTTCATTCTGCTATTTAAAGTGTTCGGTAATAAAATCTTTTCCATTTTTTTTTTCTTGTATACAAATATAATTTACATTTATTATGTTTTTAGTGTAAATGGTTATCTTGTGTTGGAGGAAAAGATGTTGGGGAGACGACTCGAAAAATTTTGAGCAAACTCATTTCCAACCAACTGGCGGTCAACTCTAATTGGACTGGCCGGAACAATAAAAACGGATTAAAGGAATTGAGAAATTTCATCAATCTGATCCTTGGTAATATTTTCTTAATTATGTATTTTCTTTATTTTTGCAGTTTGTTTTTTTTAGTATCAGTTAGAAAAAATCCCATATGTTCTAATGCATTATTAGACAATGTTGAGCAAGTCATAAAATCGTGGCTGAGGACTGCTTATGACAGAGATGGCGGTAGGTCCCGACGCAAAAGGGCGGATGAAAATTAACGTTTTTTGTTTTTGTTTTAATTTTACACGAGTTATGTTTTTTTATTATACAAGAGTTATGTTTTTTATTTCTTTTGATTATTTTTTTATTTTACAAGAGTTGTTTTTTATTTTACAAGTTTTTATTTATTTCATAAAATTTAATGATTTATTTTACAAGAATTTTATTTATTTTATAAGTATAAAAACAAATGGACAATTTCAACGGAAGATTATTAAGAGCACCAATCGGTTTATGTAGAAACTAATACAAGCAAACTATGCTTTAAAAGGAAACTTTTATTTATAGCTATAGTTACAGTCTCCTTTTAAATTACAGTTTGCTTGTATTACAAAACCGATTGTTGCCAAAACAGTCGCCACCCCTAGCAAATGTCTTCAGTTGAAATTGTCCATTGTTTTGTATTTGTATTTTTTTATTTGTACATATTTTATTGGAAAATATATTTTGATTTATATTTTAGGCTATTTTATTTTTTTTGAAACACCCTGTAAAAATTGATCGGCAATGCGACAATTACCCGCTGCCCAAACGACATAGTTTATGCGTACCGCCTTTAAAGGTATATTAATAGGAATATACACGTAGCCTTAATCATACCTCCATTTTACATATGCAATTGAACTTGATCATACCGAAATCATCACATAAAAGGCCCTTAAATGAGGTGGCGGCAAGGAACAAGCGGACCGTCTGGCGGCCGCCCTACCATATAATATGCGGGATGATTAAGTACCGCCTTGCAGGCCCTACAATTCTCTGATGCGGCAAGAAACGTCACGCCAGTATCAACCCTTAAAGGCATTGTTTGCTGGGCTGGTAGAAGATTTATTTTAATTCATTTAGCGGGATTTAAATGCAATCGGAAATGGTGAACCCTTGCTTCTTATATGAGAAATACAGTGATACTGCGGCCTTAATTACAATAAATTGTGTCTATTAATGATTGTGTGAAAAAATTAGAAATATCAAAGTAATTGATAAAAATTACAAAAATAGACTCCATTACAGTTCGAAACGATGAACCTAAGAAGAGTTATACTTGTATGGAAGAAGGATATGTAGGTACAATTATATTTTTTTTCGTCCCATCCTCTGAAATTTTATGGATGGCGCCAACAATTATTGAAAAACCCATGCATAGCTTCGGTGACGCCATTTCAGTGGCGTACCTATGGATACGGATGCGAAAGGGATAAATTAGGACAATTTTTGTACTATTATTACGCACCTAGCCTATAAGATTTGAGGGCTATTATTAATTTTCCAAAGATTTCACTACCTAATTTAAACGGTTTTAAGTAGGTTTTGCAAAAAATACAAATCAAAACTAGACATTTATCTTTTATCTTGCACGAAAAATATATAAGGTACGAATTACTCATTCCTTACCACTAAGAAGTCTGGACGGAAGGAACGTCCTACTCTCGTTCCTCCTCGTATTACTGTCATTGATACACTAGCTCCTTCAGCAGTAGCTGTCACCGTTATTTCCCTAAATTCTGCTTGTTCTATGCGAATATCGTAGTCACCGATCTTTTTACCTCGGAAATATTTGCTCCAATCTGTATTCTGATCATCTATGACGAGAAGAGTGAGGTATCTACCGGGTGCCTAAAAATAATGATAAAAAAAATAATTTACGGTTTAATTAAAATAGATTTGGAAGTAGAAGACTGGGTAACGTCCCAGCAGTTAAATAAGGTTAAAATTGGTTGAAAAGTGTATACTTGAAAGACAAAATGAATAATTTATATTTTACACAATATACACCGTAGTAGTTTTCGAAATATATAATATAATTTTGCATTTATTTGGCTTATAATTTCGGATAATTAACCGTGTATAATTTCAGATTTTATTCCATTACAGTACCATTAAATTCTTTAATCTAAATTAAGAATAATTTGACCCTGGAATATTCCATGCCTCCATCTGGTGCTACTCGAGTCCCTTTGACGCCTTACGGAGCAAAGCACATTAAATACTCTGAAGCCTGAATATTTTTCGAGTCTAAGGCGTCACAAGTAATAAGTATAAGAACCGGGGAACCGAGCGTCTTCGATATTTTCACTTAAGGCATAAAAATTGGCTGTGTAGTTTGGACCAATAAACGAAGCCTTAAGTTGAAATTGTGATGTCACCAAAGACATTATGCTACCTATGAAATGCCACCTAAGTAAAAATTTGGTGAACACTTCTCCTTCAAGTTGACCTTCAGGATTTAAGATGGATTCATAGGATGCTTGATCTAGGTATTCCGGAAGTTGATTCATCGAGAAATTCATAGTTGATTGCTTATTGATTAAAAAGTGTGTTGATAAACAACGGTAATTTGACAGACAGACAGAGGTACTTTAATATAGTAGGCCGTAATTTGTAATCTTTGACATCTAGGCGATAACGTTCATTTAAATTTTCGACCGAATTCTATATCTCGGGAACCACAAAAGTAGGTAATGATCTTAATGTCATTTTGCTTCTCTAAGTGTCCCTAGCTTATCGATAAGGTTTTGGATTTCTCTATCCCGAGATCGCGGCACGGACAGACAAACATTAGCACTTTAATTAGCCTAAATAGCCTAAACCAGGGACAACGATATACATTGTAATGACTTTTGCTTTAATCCTGTTTGTGGTAAGTGTGTATGGCAAGTATTTCAATATTTTTCATGGTTTGAATTATTAAAATGAAGAACATTGTTAACTACAGTCACAGAGATAATAGGTCTGTTCCAACAACGATCAGAAACTGGTCATTAACACCAGAATTCTGCGCAGTAGATTATTAGGACTCTAAATTATATACTGCGAAGAATCGTGGTGCTAATGACGTTGTTGGAACAGACCTAAAAGAAAGGGAAATAAAAAGAGAGAAGAAAAGATAAAAAGAAAGAAAAAAGAGATAAAGAGATATAAAAAGACAGAAAGAGTCAATTTTAAGGACAAAGCAAAACATGACTAATTCTAATAAACATAATTATCATTATGATTATTTTCAAATATTAATTATAGAATACTTACTGTCGATGTAACTCTTGTTGCACTTGATACAGCAGCTCCCAAAATTGACGCTCCTTGATCTCTGGCTTGTCCCGTGAGTGATTGTACTCGTTGAAGAAGACTTTCACGAGATTTTGCTGGAGAACTGGGTGCCGAAGTTGTTTTCGATCCTGATCTTAAATTAAGCGAGAGGTCTCCAGACGTGTTCGATTGCGAAGGAGGTGGCGGTGGTGGAGGAGCCTGTAAACATAAAATTATTATTACGTATTCAGTAGCGGCACCAGAGAGGATAGGCGCGAAAGTCAGGAGGTGGCAAGGTTAGTTAATTATTCACGAGATTAGGATAGAATATCAAATAAGCAATTAGAATTTTTGCTTTACTTTTGAGATATTGAATTGTTTTGAATATTATTGGGCACTCCAAACGAAATGGCTGCCTAAGGGCGTTGACAGGGTCAATATATAGGTAGTTATATTCGCTCAGTGTGAAGTCATGGTAGGGGAAGTAAAAGTGTTACTAGCGCTAGCTGCGGATAATTCGTGCATTTTACAAGTATACATTTTACTTAAAAAAAAAGTAGGTAAACAACAATACAATAAGCAACCGGAGCTACTGTGTTAAAAATTGTTAAAGTATTAGTGTTAATTATAAAAAAATTAGTAGCAAAGTGGAAATTAAATCAAAGAAATAAATGGATAAAATAAGAAGAAAAATTCCCTTTATTTTTGTAATAATAACAGTAATACTGGAAATAGTAGACATCAGAAACTTTAAAGGTTTTAAATAAACAATAAATTATCATTTTAGCATGTTCTTCAACATCCCTTTAATCTAAAATGTCCAACAAGAACTAGATTTCTGCCTTTGATTATTGTATGTGGCCGAAATGAAATTATGTGACTTACTGATAGGAAACCAGTTTTAAACACGCATTCTATGTTTATTTTGAAAAAAAAAAAATATTGAAAATATAAATAACGATCCATCTGTTTATACATTTTAACTTCACGCTATTATTTAATGGTATTTTTTATTTTGACAGAATAGGTTAAATCTTTAAAGACAACTTCTCATACATTTTCCCGTAAATACTGTTGCCTGCCTATATTTTATTATTGATTTTTAATGATTATACTTTATTTTTTTTTAGTTTAAGCGATAAAAGTATATAATTAATTAATGTTTTACTTGTTTTACAATTCCATATACTTTTATTAAAACTAACATCTTTACTTTTTAATTACGAATTCTATTAAAAATTGTATCGTCAGTATACGCAAAAAATAGTCCATTAGTACATAAATGAATTTGCGCTGCTGTCACGCACGGAGCGAGTAGATTGATCATATGTTTTTTAAAATAACTAACATTGAAGTAAAAAATGTAGGTAATTATTTTTTACTATATTTAAAGGCCGAACTTTGATCTTAGAACATATTTTTGTTGAACCGATTTTTAATAATTATTGAGCACTTGCGAAGCAATATGATGGCTCGCAATGTGACCCGCTTTGAACAATCTATATAACTATATAAATCATTGATCCCGTCAAAGCCCTCCGTCAGCTATTCGGACAGGTTGTTTAGATGCTTAATTATTTATTTTTACAGTTTTTTTTTTAACAAATATTAGGGTTGCCACCTGTCCTTTTTTGAAAAGGACAGTCCTTTCAAGCAAAATGTGCTTACGACTTTTTAAAGCTTAAAATGTCCTCTTTTACTTTTTGATATCTTTTATGACTTTTTGACTTTTTTTTAACTTTGTTGCCTTTTTTTTTACTTTTTTGACTTTTTTGACTTTTTTGACTTTTTTTACTTTTTTTGACTTTTCTTGGCATTGTTTTGACTTTTTTTGACCTTTTTGACTTTTTTTTTTATTTTTTTTTTACTTTTTTGACTTTTTTTTAATTTTTTTTTACTTTTTTTTGACTTTTTTTGACTTTATTGACTTTTTTTTGACTTTTTTTAGACTTTTTTGACTTTGACTTTTAGAACTTTTTTAACCTTTTTTTAACTTTTTTTAACTTTTTTAACTTTTTTTTAACTTTTTTTAACTTTTTTAACTTTTTTTTAACTTTTTTTAACTTTTTTTAACTTTTTTTTAACTTTTTTTAACTTTTTTAACTTTTTTTTAACTTTTTTTAACTTTTTTTTAACTTTTTTTAACTTTTTTTTAACTTTTTTTAACTTTTTTTAACTTTTTACACTTTTTTTAACTTTTTTTAACTTTTTTTAACTTTTTTTAACTTTTTTTTAACTTTTTTTTAACTTTTTTTAACTTTTTTTAACTTTTTTTTAACTTTTTTTAACTTTTTTTAACTTTTTTTAACTTTTTTTAACTTTTTTTAACTTTTTTTAACTTTTTTTAACTTTTTTTAACTTTTTTTAACTTTTTTTAACTTTTTTTAACTTTTTTTTAACTTTTTTTAACTTTTTTTTAACTTTTTTAACTTTTTTTAACCTTTTTTAACCTTTTTTAACCTTTTTTAACCTTTTTTAACCTTTTTTAACCTTTTTTAACTTTTTTTAACTTTTTAACTTTTACTTTTTCTTTACTTTTTTAACTTTTGTGTTGACTTTTTGACTTTTTTTGACTTACTTTGACTTTTGACGGACTTTTTTTGACTTTGACTTTGACTTTTGACGGACTTTTTTTGACTTTTTTGACTTTTTTGACTTGACTTTTTGACTTTTTTTGTTACACACTCGTCGACCTTTTTTTTTTAAAGTTCAGTAGAAGGATGAGGACCTTTTGTATACCGAATCCCCTATCAGCATCATAGTCCTTTATTCACTTTTCAATAAGGTGGCAACCCTAACAAATATAGAATAAAATATAACGCAGTAAAATGATAATATGACAATACCTCGTTAGACCTTAATAGAAAATAGAAAATAATATCACGCTAGTTGTTTTACTTTTTAATTAAAGAAATAGGTAAAATCGATTTCTATTTAAAACGAAGAAAATATTTTGTCCTAAATAAAATAATATGTGCGACTTTGAAAAAGGGTTTGGAAAATAAAGAGACTTTGGATGTTTCTACAATTTATCAAATATATAATATTTAGAATTCGGTGCACGTACTTAAATCCAAAAGAAATAAATAGAAAAGAACGATACAAATTTAGTTATCGCATCGAGTTTACTAAAGAGATGCAGAAAAATGAACAAAATAAAATATGAAACAGCATTCATACACTTGTAGAAGAAGCAACAAGCTGCAGCTACTTATATCTACAGGGTGGACTGAATTTGCATATACAGAAATCTCGTAAACCGCAAGAATATAATAAGGGGCATATTTTCATAATTTGATTGGTAATTCAATGGCCCATAAAAGTTTCAAAGTATTCGGCTACTTCCAGAGGTAATCGACAAGAAAATATTTATATTTTAATTAGTAATTTAATGGTTCATAAAAGTTCTAATTTGTTTCGGTTACTTC